GGGAGCAGGGTAACGATCAGCTAGTGCTTGCATTAACGGTGGCCATTGAACCCCGTGATTAATGTCGAAATCAACGATGTGGATTGCTTGATGATTACCGTTAATCGCTTCTAAAATCGCTTGATTAGCGGTTAATTGAGTAAACCTTATGAAAGGGGTAACTTGGTTTAGAGATAGATATGATGATTGAATTAGAGCTAATGATGACGAAGAAGAAGAATCAGTTGGAGTTGTTTCAACAGGTGTCATGAAATGATTGGTGGTTGACGATATATAGCGGTTGAGACGAAGGGAAAGTGCGCGAGTAAATTGATGGACTAACCGTTCAGTTGAATCACCAAAAGGAGATGAGTTAGTTGATAATATAGTAAGGAGTCTTTTCGCGGCCGAGAAATCGGACTGCGAAATCAACTCCGCACAGCTAATGAGTAGCTGGCGGATTTGAATAGCTGGTGAGGTAGTGATGGTGGTGGTGGTGATAGTTGTAGCAGTAGCGGTGAATCTACGCTGTTGATGATGATCAGAAGATTCTTCATCATGATGAGGGTGAGATTGAGATGATGAAGAACCAAAGGATCCTAACATATCATTCAATTTAACAACACTATTTCAGGTGAAAGTGAAAACCCTAGAGAGAGAAAGAATATGCTTATGAAAAGAGAAATAAAGGAGAGAGAGAAAGGAAAAAAAGGGGACCTGGGGGGAAGGACAGAGGGGGGTTCAATGATGGAGGAGGGGAAATTTATGGTTTTAGCATCTGAAAAAATTATGTTGATCGTACTCTTCAAAAATATAGTCGCCTTGACGTTTTGATTTCTTTTAAAAGATTTAATAGACATCTCAATAATATTTTTGAAGAATTCAAATAATATAAACGGAAACTAATATAGAGTTGGCTTGAGTGGGAAATTACAAAAATGATATAAAAACTATACTCTAAAGAATCGTTTGATTGGTGGGATAACATAGATAAGAATATTTCATAAAATTATATCCATCTTGTGTGATGTCATTTAATTTTTATTAAAATAATAGGAGAAAGATCATTCTAAAACTAAATACTACACACTATTAAACATAAGATAAATGATCTTATAAAATATCCTGAAATTATTACTCCATATATATATCTTTGTTCCACTAACCAAATGAAGGATGTACAAACAAGAGACACTATGTTAAGGAAGAGTAAATTCTGAGTTGTATGATTTTGTGACAGAACTAATTAAGGTTAATTATAATAAAGTACAAATAAGGAAATGATTCTTTTAGACGAGTATAATCTGAGATGAGGAAATCTAGCAGAATAATTAGTACTACAAAAGCTACTTAAACATTTCCGTTAAGTTAATAGCAACAAAAACTAAAAAGTAGCTTTTGTTTTTGTACTTAAGATGCCAATTAGGTTGATAATGACTTGATTCTGATAGAATATCCATTTTGTTGACCATATATATTATGTGTGGTTTGTCTGTATGAAATTCCACGTTATTAGTCAGCATATATTTATAATATGCTTAATTAATTCTTAACTTTTTTGAAAAACATATAATAAATTAAAGACAGCTAAAGGGGGATTGATTATATTAAATTAGGGCAATTCTCTCAAAATATCGCATCCAAATAGGAATTTTCTAAAACCACTTTAATTTTAAAAGGGAATGATACGATTGGGATCAACGAAACAACCTACAATTGTATATAGAAAAATTATTTTTAAAAAGAGTGTTGGTATTTATCGGAAACAATTTGTTTATTTTTGAGAGAGATAAGTTTTTGTATATTCTATGTATCCTCCCAGATTCTCATTTTATGAGATTATATTGAGTATGTAGTTATTGTTGTTCAAGAATAGAGAAAGTGTGTGTCTCCTATTCTATTAAACTCCAAAAATTAGACTATACGATATATTGTCTAAAATCATATTATACTTAGGAGATAACAATTCATTCCTTCAGCTTACGTAAAACACTTAATATTTTCCCTCTTGCACACCCAATCTATGGTTTTGATGTTTAAACAAACATAACATGATGGATTGTCCAACATACGAAACTCATAATCAAATTATTTCTCAAGATCAGGCAAAAATAGATTTTGAACTCTGTTTAATTTGCTATAAGTTAAAAAATGTGTCAAACTCTGATATCATATTAAAATTTATATTTAAAGTTAATTTATGACTTTTTCAATCGATTCCTTTGTGTGGGAAAGTAAAGGAAATGAAGTGGAAAAGTTGTCAAATGACAGTACCACCTAACAACAACAAATACACGCAAAGCCTTAAATATGTCGAAAACTTTACACACCACACGTAGTATACAAAAAAAAATAAAATATATATATATATATATATATATATATATATATATATAATGTTACACTAGGTGAGTAGCAAACCCCCCCCCCTCTACCACCCCACCCCCACCACCAAAGAAGAATAATATAATTTCCTAGTTTGTCTCTATTTATTTTTCTTGGATACGACTTTAGTGGCTTTTCATTTCTCTTTTTGATGATAATAAGATATATGCAAAATGTGGCTGCCTTACCACGTGGGGTTTAGGAACAATCCCAAGCAAAGTTAATATACCAGCAAAATTTTACGAATTCAGAAGTAAATATCTGTATTAATAAAATAATTCTTTGTTTATATAAGGTAATTATTTGATAAAATTGTGTTAATCAATATGTGTTGAATAAAAGTGACTATAAATCCACCCCTCCTCAAACTTCCAAGTCAAAAACCTAAAATAGGAAAAATAATATTGCTATTCTCATATTAATTATTTTTCACTTTCTTCAAACTTATCGATGATCGATCTTGCTCATTTTTCCAATCACATTCGTAGACAGATATAGTTGGTAATCAATGAATTCTCACGAATTTAAATTAAGTGGAAATCGTAATACTAAAAAAATATAAATTTTTTAATCTTTTTAGTTACGATCAGAAATCGAAATCGGTATGAGATGAAGTATGAATAAAGTAACAATATCTGATTGTGGTAAGTTGCACGTGAACTTTGTAAGAATAATTCATGTCCTCAGCATCGTTATCTACTTTAAAAAGTAGTGAAATGAGATTTTGTAGTCGTGGGGTTAAGAGATCACACACAGAAATATATATACTTTAGTACGTACACAAAATATTGGCATAACACATATATTGGATTCTATACTTGGTTTTAAATTTTAATTTTGATCTTCAACTTTCATAATGCATAAGCAGACACCTTAACATCCAATTTTTAAATAAATAGACACATGAGTCCTACATGGCACAAACCACGTAGGACAAAAAATGACATGTAGGATGATATGTAGGACATGTGTGTCTATTTATTCAACTTCATACAAGTTTAAGTGTCTACTTGTGTACACCCAAAATTAAAAAGCATAAATATGATGCAAAACCAAGTTTAAGGATATATTTATGTATTATGCCTAAAATATACTCCTAACATAAAAATTCAACCATATAAATCTAAAGCCATAGATTGACTTCTTTCATTCTCTAAAATATCTAACAATTTAATTACTACCTGCTATGTTAACAAAAATATATTTTTGATTACTTTATATCTCAATCATCGAGTGATTTAAATTAAACTTTTATCCTTAATTACCTTCCGGACAAAATTTCAAGTTTAACAAATAGATGAACATAAAAAGAGATGATATTGACTAGAACATCAACAATAAGAGCATCATTTAGATTCATCTACAGTTCAATTCCATTACTCTCTTCGTTTTATTTTATGTCAAGTTATTATTGTTCAATGATAAGTCAAAAAATAATTTTCTCGGACCACAATTTTCTCAATTTTTTATTAATGATTATTTTCATGTAATTAAAAAAAATGAGTACTAACATATGAAAGAGATGGTTGTTGTGTTTCTAACATATTAGAAAAGTGATGGTATATATTATATACCGTGTAAAAGAGTATAATGTATTGATGTCTAAGTTTGATGCCTACAAATGACAAGAGAACAAAAGGGAATATTACAAACTCCCAAATAGTAAGTTAAAAAGAAAAAGTCTCTTTTATTCAATAATGTGCATAACGTCGAGCAGTTCCTTTACAACTTTTGTTCTTATTAGGGTAACCTATATGCACACATGATTTGATTAATCACAGGTATCGAGCACGATATCTCTGATTGTGGCTTCTTCATTTTCATTCTATTTTTTTCTGAACTATTTTGATATATGTTATCCCTTGAACCGGGGTCTTTATTACAACAACTTCTCTTCTTTTCAAATTAGGAGTAATATATTATTTGTAGCGTTATGCTGAATATGTTATTATTGTTGTAGTTGTTCATATGATATATATAGTTGTATCAGACTTCTAATCACTAATAATTAACATTTTGAGGAATACATGTGGCAACATGTTACATAGGATAGATTACGCTATTATTAGGACAACTTGAAAGTAATTTGATAGTATATTATATTAATGACGTAGATAATACCTAAGTATTGATTCAATATCCCTCTCCCACATCAATTGATTTTAGTAGTAACATCGCGGGCTAGACATATATTTCGTATAACAAAAAATAATTATTGTCATGAAGTTTTATAGTTACGAAATCTCAAACGCATGAGACCGAAAGTAGCTATTTATGAGAGAGAAAGGTTTTGATTTTGTAAATTGATTTCTAAGCCCAAAGTTGCATTCTCCTTCCTCCCTTAGGCCCATATGTTTGGTCACTTTGAAAGTAGATGTATTGCTTTCATGCTCTTATTTAATTTCCATTGTAGCTATATCTTTGCTAGTTTAGGAATCACCTTTATGGAATATAGAAATCAAACTAACTTTGTTAATTTTTTTGTTTTGCCTTAGTATGGAAATCAAAGTGCGCTTTGTATAATTGTTCCTTTTTTAACGTTAACTGATTACTAGTTTACGTTCCTTTGTAACCCTGCCATTTTAATTACTATTTGGACTTGAAAATTTGTGATATAAATGTTAGTACTACTTAAATAACAAGTATAAAACTATAATTGATCAATAATCATGGTTCATTTAAAACGGTTTAACAGGGTGTTTGTAATTCAAAAGGTAGAGAGCAAGCACAATAATGCATATGCCTAAACTAGGAGAAAAGGCTATAAAATAAAATAAACAAAAGTCTAGTTCAAGCACAAATAGAGACACAAAAGAGTGGTTGCAGCAAACCCAATATGCATCACCAACTTGTGCTACTCAAAATATGAAATGTTACTAGTATGTAAAAAGGAACTTCGCGTCTCCAGCCTATCTTGATCTGCTCCTCTTACAAAATCCGCCTTCTGTCAATGATGAATAATGATCCGATGAAATTGCCAACCATCATGGCACCCAAATTCACAGCCATCAAAACACACAACCAGCCAGGGTCGCACATTGCATATTGTGGAGAAATCGTCTCTTTTATTGACTAACAGAGTACCTCCAACACCAAGCCAGCGCAAACCACAGAAAGAAGACATTATCCAATCACCAGACAGACCGCGACATTTATAAAGATCAAGCTTTTGCAGTAGACTAACCTTGTGATTTGGTCTATCCAACAACATCTTCACACCAGCATCTGTCACATGAAAGCAGTACCTTAGAGATAAATCAGTTAATGCTTTAGCAGCAGATGCAATGGTAAAGATAGCTGCATCAGTTATTCCGGGCATGCGACTGACATCCAACAATGATAACGTCTTGCCAATTTTTCCTTCAGCACAAAATAAACGCTCAATTCCCTTATCAGTTACTCTCTTACAGCCTCTGATGCACAACTGTGTAATGCCCAAGTTTCCCATACCAAGCAAAGCAAGACCCTTGTCGGTGATATCAGCTTCTGCTAAGTTTAGTTTTGTGAGTGTAGTAACTCTTGATATGACAAAGAGACAGGGGTTTCCAATGCTTCTGCACCCACTTGTGTCAAGTACCTCCAACTTACTCAACAAGGACAAACCTTCCAAAGCTTCACTAGTTAGAAGCCTGCATGATAACAACCTTAATTCAATTAGGGACCTTGCAACTCCTCTCATATTATGAAACGCCAAGTCTGATAATAGACATGAATTCAACACTTCAAGTTTCTTCAGTTTCCGGCATGAGTTCAGAATTGTCGAAAACCCAGCATCAGTAACATTTGCAAACCCACCAAGTTTCACTGATTCCAACCTTCCACAACCTTCAGAAAGAAGGAACATGCCCATATTGTTTACCCTCCTAAATGCAGTGCGATAATTCATACTACTTCGAACAATTGCGAGGGTAATTAGATGCTTGCAGGACTGCACACGCTGCAGTCCAACGTTGGTCAAGTCCTCTATCGTTGGATCCATAAAAGGTCTGTCTTCAAGATCCAGCTCAACCAAAAGAGGAAGAGAATTCACAACTGTCCTGAGAAGACTATCTGATATAACGTCCAAGACAAGAGATAAGCTTTGCAAGTTGAACCAAGGGATATCTCTGATCTTTTCTAACCAATGGACAAATTTGTCTCCCTCCGTTTGCTGTAACTTCAATTTTCTTAAACTCTTGGGCAGAAATAGTTCAAGAGGTCGTATATCAAATACATCAAAGTAGGTCCCTCGGATTTTTATGGACAGCACCTGCAGAAAAGGGGGAAAAAATCATATAACTGACCCTCTAAAGAAGAAACTCTTTGTTTTAAGAGTAATAAGCTTGAAGAGGCACCAGGGACAAATTGAAGAAGAGAAAGGTATGTGAAAGATGAGTATACTTCACCTCTAACAAGGTCAACTTTTGGAGCATTTCTGCAAGTTTGTTCTCGAAAAGTTGTGGATCTTCACTCCCGGCAAATTCAATCAGCAAGGACCTGATTCAGAAAAAGGAAACGAGAAAAAAAGAAAACTTACATTGGAAACAAATCTAGAGATAAATGACAAGATTATACATGTAACATATTGTTGATGTAACCAAAATGGATTTAATTATCCTGTTCCATCATCTGAAGATGGATATATAGAGTGGAATTAAACAATGCCAAGCACAAAAGCTAATACAGTTTGCAATTTTCTATACCCAAACAACCTAAAGAAATTCAGACACCAGGGTCAACAAAGAAAAAAATCAAATTCAGCCGATAGATGAATTGATTCCCAAATTAACAGATCTGCTTAAGATATCGGGGGAAAAATACAAATCAGCTTCAGCAAGTTGTAATGTAATGGCTCAAGTTAACTATTAGAACTAAAAAAAATCCATTTTCTATAGAGAGAATTTCAGGATAACAACATTCTGAACATCCATTAATGGAGGCAATTGATGCCTTCTAAGCCCTGATAAAATGATTGCAACTAGTACCACTTGTATAGTTTTAACATCAACGACAACAATTTATAAAGCAGTGAAGCATCTTATAACAATTACCTATACATGCGAATAGTCAAAAGTAGCAAAAATGAAGTTTGACATAGCAGAATACCTTAAGTTGGGGCACCTTTCTCTAATTGCACTAAGAATATGGTAAGACACTCTGGAACATTTGAGCAAACTCAATTCTTCGATATGTTCACCAAGAATATTGAAAATGGAGGTGCCATTCTTCAGTTGGAGGCAATCAATAGTTAAACTCTTGGCTCCTTGGACCCTACGCGCTACTTGTTCTAGAGTTTCTTCATCCAAATAATGTCCCTGTAAATCAAAGATACTAGTATTAAAATTTCATCCTAGATGTAGAAATTGCATAAGCATAACTAAAGATGGTTAAATGAAAAATCAATTATGCATCAATACGCATTCTCCACATGCATTTTACTCTATTAAGATTCAGGTCAATCTAAATCAACCTGCAATAAACTCAGAATAAATTTTCGCAGTCAAAGCAATCTTAAGATAATCAATCAACTACGTCTACATCCTAAATTAAATGATCTCCTCTACATTTAAGTCATGGAGTTTTAATCCACTCTATTCACACTCATTTCCTTTCGTAATAATCAATCAAGTATATAAAATCCAACAAAAGATTTTAGATAATCTAGGAAGAACATATTTCACTCAACATTAACTCGACATGATTGAATTGAAATTACTATCTTTTGATAACCGCGGTGTCCGGGACAACTTTCGTGCACCAATACATATCACCTCCCACCAGCAACATAAAGCAAGTAACACCTAGTGTTTGTTAATTTGCCAATTTCATATGTATTATACTCAATCAGGCTGCTAATTAACTCATTTTATCTAACTACATCAATAAAATTAGGGCATTCAATTAGGAGACGTACCGAAAGATCGAGAGACGATAGAGAAGTGAAAACTTGTGCGGCGGCGGAACTGAGAGTCTGAGAGACACAAGCGGCGCTGCAGACAGATTCCAAATCCAGTTTTTCCAATATACAACTTATTACATCGACTGGAAATTTATCTATTGACGGCTCAAAAACGTCATCGGAGCTTCCTGCTCCTCCTTCCTCTCCGGTATGGTGTCTCTTGGCAGTTCCGGCCATAGATGAAACATATACCGAAACCTAATTCCACGATTTCCTGCCATTTTTCCAGCAAAAAGTACAAAAAAAATCGATCAATTCATCATTTGCTTCATAAGTTTCCCTATTTTTCATGGCGAATCCGTATAGCGAAATTCAAAAAATATACTCATGTACATACAAATTTTAGATTATCTGGATTGAACCAAATCAGTATAAGATAAAATACAGTAAATTAGTAAAAAATTGTGTAGAAAAAGCTAATACATATATATATATATTAGTAATAAATACCACTGTGAATAATAATAGGGAAATGGAGTAATAAATATTTAATTGCTATCTGGTCTAGTTAAAGAAAACACCCGTTGGTATATATATTTCTGACAGATCTATTTAAAATCTAATATGCTAACTTTAGTTTGTGTTTTTATTCAAGGAAATTTTTCTTATGACTATTCTCAATTTGATCAAAAGACAGGTAGATCCTCCTAACTTTTTGACATAATAATAAAATACTATATGTAACTTTAGAGATATAAATTGAAATGTAAATCAATATAAATTGTTCTAAAAATGGTTGAATAAAACCTAAAATAGAAGTCAGTCGATTTCGTCAGAAAATAATTTAGTTTGAACCCTTTTTATCGAGTGAAACTTTATTTTTTTACGAAAAGCAGATATAAGATTAAAAATCTAGTGTTTCACTAAGATTTTGAATATATATCTTCGAGATTTAACAAGTTCATTCAATTATAAAAAAAAAATAATCAAAAGATTGAAAAAATTCAAACATATTAAAAGAAATAACAACAACAATTACTAAATATAATTTTATCAATAAAACCTGGAAAGATAAGATGTATTGAAGAATTTATCTCACCTTTGATAAAGTAGATAAATTATTTGAAAAAACTCAAAAGAATATTATATTTCAATCTCCAAAATAGTACCTTGTATATATAGGTGTTACTTCAAAGAACTAATTAATGGAAGTTTGACTCAATTAATGATCATCTCCACTTCTAATTGTGGCTCAACTAATGATAGATACTATTTCAGTCAACTTTTAATTGTAATTCAATTAATGGCTGATACTTCTTTTTGTTTATTTTTAAATTTTTAAAAAAATTAATTTGACTAGTTTTCAAAGTTAAATTAGATTATATTAAAGGTTAGTTAAACTTATTTTTGTGTCAGCTTTTACTTCTAGCAGTATTTGTCATTAAAAAAAACTTAAAATAAGTTAAGTGTTGACAAATTTAAAATGACTTAAATTAAGTCAAAATCCAAAAATAGGTCCTCTTGTTTTTTATTTTTTAACTTTAAAATCATTTATGATTAACTTTTTTGTTTTTGACTTAAAACTATTTTTTAAGTCAATTCAAACGGACACTAAAATTTAGAAAATGAGTTTTGGTCCAAATATATATATATATATATATATATATAATGGGTGTGTTGGTGCATTTTCTTGGTTAATTCCTTAAAATTAGATTTAAAAAGGCTATACTATTTTATACATCTTTCTGCTAGTTACTCTATCCAGCATGAAAAAATTAAACATATTAAATCATATATTACGAAAAAAATAAAGTATGAAGTGAGAAAATCGAATTGGGCAAAAGGATAATAATTACATATTTTTTAAGGTAAAATTACCATTTGTCCCTTATAAGTATATAAATACAAAAATCCCTCAAATTGATACACTAATATATCGTTGATATATTGATTTGATACGTGAGATATATTAATCGTTAAGTAATATATATTACATTTTATACATGATATACTAATTTGATGTACATTTTATACATGATACATTAATTTGATGCGTGAAAATAAAAATTTTAAAACTAATAGAGAATAATGATAATACTAAAACTTAAATGTGAGATTTTTATCATTTATCTAATTAAATTTGTAGATATGCAATTCTAGCCCATTGGGCTTGGGTTTTATCTTTCACCTATTACATCATCTCAATCCTTTATGATTCAGTTAGCTTATGGGTTAGCATGTGTTATTTCATAATGGGTTAGCTTATGGGTTAGCATGTGTTATTTCATAAATATTAAGATAATATTTATTATTTATAGTAATAATATTTTTTTTACTTAATCACTTTTAATATATGTATAATATAAATTTAATATATATTACAAGCATAATTTATTATTCACATATAATACAAATCTTATTGATGATTAATATATGTATCACACATTTTAATATACTTATAATATATGTGTCAATTTCTTACAAAACAAGCCTTATATATTTTTAAAAACAGTTATAATACATATTTATTGCATACATAATTTACTTTAATATATATAGCAGATTTAATAAAGCGTTGGTATAATAATAATAAATAAAAAATATTGCTAAAATCAATAATTATTTATTAAAAGGTATAAATCCATGTAATTTATACTAATTTAATTTTGACCCGTCCATTATTAATTTGTAACCCAACATTAATTGAAAAAATTATATAAAGTAGGTCATAAAACTCAAACTAACCATATTAATCTAAAGTAATTTTTAAAAAATCATTTCCTCAAAAAATAAATGTACAACCTATATCCTGAATAATATCATATATAAGGTATTAACATTATTAAGGTTTTTTATTCATAAATAACATTAGTCAATGATATTATAAATGCGTATGCATATTGGTGTGGTGTTAATAAGGTTTCTTGTTCAAAAGAATAAAACGCATTCAGCGAATGCGATTTATACGTAAATTTCAGTCTCTTCTTATTGTTGAAATTATTTTATTACCCCTTCCGTTTAACTTTATTTTTATTTTTTTTAAAAAAAAAATAACTTTTTTTATAATTATATACTCAAAATTAATTAAGTTGAAAAGGAAAGACAAATAACGCATTTGACAAATGTGATTTATGTGTAACCCTCAGTCTCTTCTATTTATTTTGGAAGTTATTTTATCACCTTTCCGTTTAATTTTATTTGAACACTTTTCAAAAAATATATTTATTACTTTTATTATATCAAGAAAAGAAAATTATTTTTGTTTCATTTTATACTTAACATGAATTTCTCATTTATTTATTTTTAGAATCGTCGTATCTGAATTGATTAGCTACCTAAAATTAAACTTTATCAGTGGACGTCCAATCATTTTTAGAATCGTCGTATCCCCTGTTTTTTATTTTTTAAAGCACGATTTTAATTTTTGTCTTTCAAAAAAGATTATGGCATTGAAAATTTGAAAACTCTTTTTGAGATGCTTAAAAAGAAAGAGTTGAGAAAGAAATACATAAAACGCATTCGGCGGATGCTATTTATGTGTAAGTGTTAGTTTTTTCTTATTTATTGTTGAAATTACTTTATTACCTTTTTTGTTTAATTTACTTTTTTCACCATTTTTTAAATAAATTTATTTTTTATCATTACTTTTTTCATCTCAAGAAAAGTTATTTTTTTTTATACTCTCAACATTAATTGAATTGAGTAAGATGACGTAATACACATTCAATGGATGCATGTATAAGTATCATTCTCTTTTTATTTATTATTGAAATTATTTTATTATTTTTTTCGCTCAATTTTATTTGTCCACTGTATTAAAATATTTTTTTTATCATGTCAAGAAAAGATAATCATTTTTTTAATTTTATACTCAACATTAGTTGTTTATTTTTTTTGGAGAATTATCGTATCTTAATTGATTAGCAACATGAAATTTAACTTTATCAATAAATGTTCGAATCATCAAATTGTTAATTCTTTCCTCTATTTTTCTTTTATCGGCCCACAAGTTTATTTTATTTTGTCTTCTAAATAAAGGCCGTATCAATTAATAATTGAAAAATCCTTATTAGATGTCTAAATAGAAAGAGATGAGAAAGAAAGTGATAAAACACATTGAATGCAATTTATGTGTAAGTTTCAGTCTCTGTTCTTATTTATTGTTGAAATTAATTTGTTATCCCTTTCGTTTAATTTTATTTTTTTAAAATATATGTATTTCTTTTATTTATTATTTTTCTTATATCAAGAAAAGATAATTATTTTCTTTCATACTCAACATTAATTGCGATGAGTAAGATAGATATAAAATTCAATTAGCAAATATACAAAGATATATATTTATAATCATTTTGCTTTTACAAGGTATTTGCTTTATTTCTCCTACATATATTCTTGGGCTGAGAGTTTCACTTCTAAGTAGATGAAATTGTAACAATATTACAAAAATATTTTAACGTTTTTTTTGGAAAATTATGCAACAAAGCAAACTTATACTATTTAATTACTCATCATAGTTATAGTTTGCTATAATTATCATTAACATTATACATTAATTACATGCGTTGACTTTGAGTTTGTATAATTAGTCATGTTTGTATATGTGTAATACCTTAGAATATACAAATACATGTGTATAATATACAATTATTTAACCTATATATATAGACAAGTCACCTCTCCCACTCTTTGCCCTCTCTCTCTCGCGTCTCTCCTCCCTCTCCCAAATTCGCCTGCTCTATATACAAATGCATATGTATAATATACAAATTTATATATATATATATATATATATATATATATATATATATATATATATATATATACAAGTCACCTCTCCCACTCTTTGCCCTCTCTCGCTCGCCTCTCTCCTCCCTCCTCTCTCTCCCGATATCGCTAGCCTCTCTACTCCCTCTCCCACTCTCGCTTGCCATATGTACAAATACAAATATATAATATACAATTATCTAATCGATATACATATACAATTCACCTCTCTCCCACTCTTTTCCCCCTTTCTCTTGCCTCTCTTGTCCCTCTCCCTGTCTCGCTCACCTTTCTCCTCCATATAACATGTAGTTACGAATTGTAATTATCAAACTATAACTATGAAAAATAATTAGATTATTTTTAAATGGATGTATATGAAAGTTTCCCCAGTTTTTTCTCTCGCTAGTTCAGGGCTCCAGGCCCAATTAATTTCCAAAATAAAGTCTACATAGTTCAACTTTTTTTTTCGTTCAAATCATGGGATAATTCATATTTTCACCGGAAAATCTGATTGAATGGTTGTTTTACTTACGTGTTAACTAATAATTTTTCATTCTTATTTGGTTGGGTATAAGAAGTCAAAAAAATTTAATAAAAAAGTCACGAGTTAGTTGGTTATTTAGACCAAGATTAGAAAGG